AATATATCAAACTTCCAGCGGCGAAGCGTCAGACAATCGATTTAATCGGTGAACTGTGAAAGAGATTGCGGCCTCCATCCCTTCGCGCGCGCCCACCGCATAATGTAAAATCGACAGACAGAGAGAGAGAGAGAGAGAGATGGAAAGAGAGAGGCTGTAGCGGTTCGCACGGCGCGATTTAAACGCAGGAAAAAATTCGATTTCCGTCTGTACACCCGCCACGTCGGCCGAGGCCCCCCGTTGCCGCTGTTTTTCTACGACGCCTCGATAAACTACTCGCCGGCGTATCGCGTGAAATCGCTTCGGTTCGTGAACGGGCAATTAGGGAGGCGTGACTCGAATGCGCGGCTAATTGATCGAGGAATAAAATTCGACGCGTGGGCGGGCAAGCGCGGGATGTTCGTGGCTATTTTTCGGGGAATTTACGAGCGAGCAACCCTCTCCGATGAAATTCCGCGCTCGATGCTCTTTTCCTATGATCAGGCTACCGACCGATGAAAAGGGGAATTGTTGCATGGAGTTGAGGGGGTGCAACACCGTGATGCGTCTGAAAAGGGGTACAAGTTGGGGAATTTTTCTCGTAGGGAATTGCTGTAACTTTCAGCTTCTTTCTCCAATTTTTGAAAAATACAAATGTTACCAAGTTGATGTAGGTACGTTTTGTTTTCTGTGGTATCAATTTATCGTGAAATTAGGGATTAGTTGCTTTTCTTTTACCTGAAGAATATTTTAGTACATTTTTATGTATCTTAAGTTTGAGAATTTTTTTTACAGGGAACTGCTAAGTAAAAAGTTTCAGTTTTTTCAGGAGATATAAATAAAACTTTCAACTTCTCTTTGCAATTTTTGAGTTTCAGTTTTTTTTAGGAGATATAAATAAAACTTTCAACTTCTCTTTGCAATTTTTGAAAAGTACAAAGTAAGTACGTTTTGTTTTCTGTGATGTCAATTTATTTCTGAGTAGTTTTACGTGCTTTCTTTCTACACGAAACGAATTCGTTCTTTATGCAGTACATTTCTGTATTGTTCAGCTTAAAAAAATCAAGGAATTATCGACGGTTCGAGGATCGCAACGAGTGAACCGTTGAGCGTTTTTACGATTGCAGACCGTAAAAGCGACAAGTGGATGCTCGTTAAGCATGCGTTCAAGTTGGCCGCTTCGTTCCGGTGCTAAATGAAAACTAGAAAAGTCGTTCCGTCCTTCTTCGAGTGTAAAAGTTGCCCCGCCGCGTCGTAACTCGGTCTCCCTGGAACGTCTGTTTTATAGTTTTTCTCATTGTTCCAACGGTTCCTCGAATTTCGAAGTTTTTCGAGACCGCTGACCATCGTTTCCCCCACTCGTAACCCTTCCGCGTAATTTCTTGCGGTTGAACTTTTGTTTTCTTAACGAGCCACCCGCGGCGATATCCTCCAAATGGAGAGCATCAACGTGAAAAGCCGAATGTGTCATTTTAAGTAAAATATCGACGCTATTAGAACCGAACTTTCGTACTAAAGTTCCCTTCATTCTCGGCAGGCTTCTTCGAACCGAATTGCAAAATTTTCAACGAAATCGAAGAAACGTCGATCTCGAATTTATTCGAAACTATTTCTCACGCGTAAATTTCGAGAGTTAAATCGAGTGAAAATTTTTCGCACTTTTCAAACATCGAAAAGTCGCAAATTTTTCAACGAAGTTTATATTATGGTGCATTGACTTTTCTCGAGTTTCTCCTTTTGCTTTGATAGATTCGGAGAATGCCTTAATCGCGTGGCTTCCAACGATGCGATGTTGATTTTTAACCCGGGCAAAAGTGTGAGGGGGCATCGCGCAGGATTTGCATCCTAATTTGCTCGACGGTGTTTAAAGAGCAAATCGTTCGGCTGAAATCTTCCCGTGGAATTTCATCAACGTGGAATCCTAGCGCGCCACTAGTCCCCGTCGAAATTACTGTTTCTCTGGATCTGACACGGAATTCAGCTTCGTTTTTAAGCGCTGCTCGGTATTTCCATAAATTTCTCCGCGACCGGAATCCGGCGTTGAATTCGAATTAGATTTGACAAGGAACACGCGTCGAACGTTAAGCATAATTTCGAAATTTTTCAAATATCTCCACCTTTATATCCGGAGTTATTCGTTAAGCGAACGCGTGGAAAAATTCATTTTACCTTCTCGTTTCCCGCGGAAAATTTGATTTCCCGCGAAGGAAACGATCTTTCTCTTGTAACGATTTTAAACGGAGAATAGCGGGGAATAGTTGGAAAATGATAAACAGAAGAGTGAGTATTCCTCGGATCGAATCACTATTGTTCTTTGCGAATGTTTCAGAACCTAATTTTGTGGGATCTTACGACATCGACAGCCACGTATTCTTCTTCTTCCGCGAGACGGCGGTGGAATACATAAATTGCGGCAAAAGCGTGTATTCCCGTGTGGCGAGAGTTTGCAAAAAGGACACCGGTGGCAAGAATATTCTGTCGCAAAATTGGACGACTTATCTGAAAGCCAGGCTGAATTGCTCGATACCCGGCGAGTTTCCGTTCT